TAAAACGTTTTTAAGAACCCACACATTTCTCCCTTCTTTGAATTTTTTTTTCTTACTTCATCATTAATAATGCTACCACTGGCAAGCACACACTGCTCTTATAATTCGAAGCGAACAAGGAAGATATGGAGGTGGGGTAGGGCAAATTGCATCCTCCCAGGAGGACTGGGGCTTGTAGAGACCCTGGGCTCATCATGGGATTGCTCTGAGCTCTGCACTGTGGACAGACACTCCTTAATCCATTCCTTCTATCTGCCTGGCCCACATAGGACTAGGCAAGGGCCCCAGGTCTCCTACTGAGGATGCAGTGAGCCTGTGCTCACCCTAAGCCCATGAGCTCCCTGAAAGCTCAATACTGTGCGTGCTGTTTTCCAAAGAGAGACCCAGTGGCGACAAAGGCCTTACAAGTGCAAGACACCGATGAGCAAAGCATGAGGCTCAAACAAAGGTCAGAAAGCCTCGGAAAGTACGAGCTCACCAGGAAGATAGATAACCCGCAGATGGGAGAAAATAACAACGGCACAAGGTCCTGCCTCGCGGCTTCATCTAGCATTCACCTGCTTCTGCCTTCAGTCCGCCCTCATCCCATGGCAAATCAGCAGGCATGGTTGGTGCAGCGTGAGGTCTCTCCTGCCTGACACACTCCTTCCCTTCCACCGAGACCTGTGGCTGTGGGCTAGGGACCCCACCTGGCCTTCGTCCCAGTGTCTGGGGCTCGGAGTCTCCTCTCCGGGTGCCCGCCCCCACAGGTCCAGCTGCTCCATGACTCTCAGGGAGTAATGAATTCCATTCCACCAGCCAGAGATCCGAGGGACAAACTCAGACATCAGATAGGCCCTGAGTGTGGCAGGAGTGATAATACCCCGTATCAGGCTGGGGGAGGGGAGAGCAGAACTGTGGCTGCAGCTGTGGACGGGAAGGATCCTTGTACAGGGACAGGAGGAGAAAAGATGTCTCCGTGGCATCTGGATTTGTTGTTTATTGTAGACCAGCCTCATCACAAACTCCCAGACACCTGTCTGCCTCTACCTCCCAAGCACTAAGATTAAGGGTGTACACCACCATGCCCAGCGGGACTTGGATTTTTATCTGCATGCCATGGGAGGTTTTGAGGCAGAGCAGGTGGGCTCTCTGTTCAAATTCACTCTTAAAAGCAGGCCAGAGGATAAGAGATCCAAAAGGCTTGGAAAGTGAGGCACAGAAGGCTAGTCCTGCGGGCTCTGGGGAGGGCGGCAATGACCCAGCTTTGCACAGCGTCAACCTCGTCATTTACGGGGACTCAACCGCAAAAGAAAAATGTGGAGTTCCTGTACAAATCTTAAATATTTCAAGATGACAGCATAGGATTAAAACTCTGGGGCAAGCTTTCAGACACAAGGCTGCATGGGGCAACCAGCATGCTAGATGTCCTGCCTGGTGACAGGACAGAAGGGGGCAGGCAAAAGACAGACCTAAACAGCAGTCCCACGACAGGGAGAGAAGGGACAATACAGCAAGGCAGTGGACAGACCTTTGTACCTCGATTCCTAGGCCACCCTACTGCTTACCAGACATCCTACAGTAGCCACCACAATCTCTAACTTGCTTATTGATAAGTCTACCCCGCATCTCCTCTTTATCTTCAAGTCCTAGACCTGTTGATGTAGGGTCTCTAGCTAATGGGACTATCATCCAGTCCTTGTTTGTTTGTTTGTTGTTGTTGTTTTTGTTTGGTTGGTTTTGGTTTTTCCAGACAGGGTTTCTCTGTCACTTTGGAGCCTGTCCTGGAACTAGCTCTTGTAGACCAGGCTGGTCTGGAACTCGCAGAGATCCCCCTGCCTCTGCCTCCCGAGTGCTGGGATTAAAGGCGCGTGCCACCACTGCCCGGCCCATCTAGTCACTTATTAAAAACTCTGATGTCACCCTTCCATGGGTATCACCTGCCCCTTGTATCTTCATCACATCCCTCTGGGCCATTTACCTTATAAATCTCTGTTCTCTGTGTTTTCTTCACTGACAGATTCAAGCAAGCCCTTACCAGCTCATCAACTCCCTATAGAAACCCTGTCCCTCTCTCTGACCTCAGTCTGGATCCCACTCCCACTCTCAAATAAATTCCACATCCTCCAAAGCTGCCCCACGAGGACCCCCAAATGCTAATCCACTCGAGTCTTATGGCCCAGTGGATAAGATCTAAACATCTTAGTGCTTTTTAATTTTTTAAGAATGGGTTGAGTTTTCATTGAGTACGGTGGAAGAAGGCAAATGGGCTGGGCAGTTTGAAGAGCAACATTTGCAGCTTAATGGGCTGTGGGGCAAGGTGACAGGATGTTTCCTTGCGTTAGGACTTGGAGCTTTGGGGCATATAACTCACACCACTGGAAGGAGGGTAGTCCAGATGGGCTGGTGTAAATTCTAGGACCTTAGCGTGAGCCACTATGAATTTAACTTCCAGTTGAGCAATCTCTGCTGACAACAATGAGTGAGGGTCTCAGGGCTCCAGTTCGCAGGTCTGTGGTGCCATTCCAACCTGGCATGGCCTTTGTCATGATCTTCAGGGCGGTCCGCAGCTTTGTAGAGAGAAAGTGCATGCAGAATATGTTTTCAAGGCTGAGGAGATGGTGGGCGAAGGCTCGGAGCCTGAGTTTGACCTCTAGGTTCTACATGATGGAAGGAAAAAAAAAGATTCTCTTGTAAGTTGTCCTCTGTCCTCCACACATGCATACAAACCAACATACATACATACATACATACACATGCATACACATAAGCATGCAAACCAAGGAAGGAAAGAAATAGAAGTGTAATAAAATACAAACAAAACCTTGTACAGAAGTCAATGTTGGTAATCCATGGAAGCTGCAAATAGGCATCTTGATTTTTCCCTCCCTGTCAGAAAATGGGAAAAAAGGAAACGAACCGAACTGACCAACCAAATGATAAGTGAGCCCCTTAACAACAAAAATGATAATAATAAATACAATTAACAAATCATACAGTAAGCAATGTAAACAGAAGCCAAGGAAAGGAAATGAAAGGAAGAGAAAAAAAAAATAGGTCCTTGCCGGGGAGGCAAGGACGGGCAGGGAGCTTTCCATGTGCACCACAGGACTTCTCCCCGTCCAGACAAGCACAGAAGCCATCGGTCTGTATTTCTCTATATTGAGCTTTTGCAGCTGTCATTTGAACACCTCCAGCACATAGCATGCTGGTTGTCTGGGTTTTGTTTGCTTGTTTGTGTTTTATTGTTTCTTTAACATCAAGTGGTTTCTATTCATTCGTGGAAGTTTGTCTTAGCTCTCATCTCTGAGAAACTTTCTCTAGCTTCCACCGAACCACGGGTGAACAGACAGACACCTAGATGCCTGTGACTGGGCCAGGCCTCCTGTCTGGGGCTGTTGGAGTGAATCCTGCACACAGTGGTATTACTTACACCTCACAGAGTCTGGCCCCTGTGTCTCCATGTTATCCCTGTGACCCTGGAATGAAATGCCTGTGAGGTGGAGACCCACGGTTACAGAGACAAAACCCTCTAGAGAAGAGCAGGCTGTGGTGGAAGCTGCCACAGATAACCCCAGTCAACAGACTCCATCTTATGGTATCAGTGGACCCACTGTCAGGGCTAGGCCAGCATCTTTTGTTTACTTGGTTTTTTTTTTTTTTTTTTTTTTTTTTTTAGACAGATCAATGTCAGACTGGCCTTGGATTTTGTCCTACTTTTTTTTCTGAGGCCCTCCCCCACTCCACCCCGCCCCACCTCTGCTCAACTCACACTATGTACTCAGGGCTTTTGACTGAACACTGCTCTGACCCAGAAGCAATGCTAGCTATCACTGTTGTTGGGATTGATTGATTTGATCTTGGAAATTGATTTCTGCTTTCTCTTAAAAATCCCATCCCCTTATGTGAGTTGTAAATAAACCCCTTCCTACGTTGGTTTTTTTTTTTTTTTCCTTCACCAAAAGCTAACGCAAAGGGCTTGGAGGCAGAGATGCCTTATGTGTCCTGGTAGCTAGCAGGCAGAGCCCTCAATAAATACACTTGCAGAGGGGACAAATCACACCTAGCTTTCCGGGAATGGAGGCAGCCAGCATGAAACTCCAGAGAGAATGGCGGGGTTAGACAGCCTGGGATTATATTGATCTATCATAATCCCCCAAATCCAGAAGCCACCTGGACACGTTTACTGGACTGAGCCTCTCTGTTGGAGCCATGTGGACACTGCTGCTAATGAGTTCAAGGCAGACATCCCAGAACAACAGAACAGCTCCTTGCTTATTTGTTTGTTTGGTTTTTGAAACAGGGTCTCATTTCGTCTGGTGCCCTATTATTCTCATCTATGGAGAGACAGAAGCAACAGAACCCTTCTGAGACAGAACCCATTCGATTCTGCTGTCTCTCCTGTCTCGCCCATTTCCAACTTCCCCTTGTGGCTTTGTGCGCTTGTTTACTTTCAGGAACTTTTTATTATGGGAAATTAAGACGTAACAGAAGTGGAGAAAACGTGTTAGAAAAGCCTCCTGCCTTATTAAGACGACCAAGCCGCGCCCCGCCTCGGGTCATCTCAGCCGCTGCTTCCCTAGGACTGCAATCCGGTGCGGATTCACCCGGGGGGGAGGGACCCCCACCCCGGGTACCACAGCGCCGCCCGGGGTCGGGTTCGAACCGAGTTTGCTTCCTCCTCTTCCCGCAGAGCGTGGGTCACCGCGGCCCGACGGCGCTCCTGACACCCCACGGTGATGAGTGAGTGAGTGAGTGAGTGAGTGTCTCCACGCTGCCACTTCCTCCTGCTCGCTCTGACTAAGCCTCCCTCCCTCCCTCCCTCCCCACATCCCGCTCCTGGGGTGGGGGCGGGAGCCCGAAGCCCCGCCCAGGGGCGTGGCCAGCGCCGAGGGGCGGGGAGACACCCATGTTTGCCCTTATATGGGCAGTCACGTCACAGGACGCGCACTCATTCACATAAAACGCCGCGCGGCCCGCGGAATCCCCGGCTTTCCGGGGCAGCGAGCGGCGGGGCGGGCGGGGCTCGGAGCTGAGCCTCGCGGGGCGTGCGTGGAGAGCGTCGCCGGGCTCGGTTCGCAAGGCCACAGCCCCGCGGGGTGGCCCCGCCGGTCCTCGGGCGCCGGGGCCGCTGGGCGGCAGCGGCATGAAGGTCACGTCGCTCGACGGGCGCCAGCTGCGCAGGATGCTCCGCAAGGAGGCAGAGGCGCGCTGCGTGGTGCTCGACTGCCGGCCCTACCTGGCCTTCGCCGCGTCGAGCGTGCGCGGCTCGCTCAACGTCAACCTCAACTCGGTGGTGCTGCGGCGGGCCCGGGGCGGCGCGGTGTCTGCGCGCTACGTGCTGCCCGACGAGGCGGCGCGCGCCCGGCTGCTGCAGGAGGGCGGCGGCGGCGTGGCGGCGGTGGTCGTGCTGGACCAGGGCAGCCGCCACTGGCAGAAGCTGCGGGAGGAGAGCGCCGCGCGCGTCGTGCTCACCTCGCTCCTGGCCTGCCTGCCCGCCGGCCCGCGGGTCTACTTCCTTAAAGGTGAGCCCGTCCGGGAGCAGCGGGCCCCTGCCACCCTCCCTCCCTCTCCCTGCTTCCCCTGCACCCTGTGCCGGGACACCGTGGTCCCCGGGGTTCCCTCGCTGCGTAGGAGCTCCGGGCCGCAGACAGTCCCAACTCGGGGGGAGTGTGCACCCCGGGGTTTCACGTGCGCTTGGGAGGACCTTGCAAACGTCAGCGGCCGTCTGGCCGGCCGGCCGGGGCTCCCTTCTCCCCTCCCTCCTTTCCTCGAAAGCGCCTGGCAGCCGGTCTGTGCTCGGGGCTGGGTGGGCTGGGAAGGTGCTGCGGGCGGTGCTCCTCAGCGGTCCCGGGGGCCGAGGGCTCGTGCTGGTCTCTGGCGCCGTTTGCAGACCTCGGGGGTCGGAATCTGCACGTAACAGATCTGGCGCGATCAAACGAGTCGAGACCCTCCCCCGGGAGAGTGGCGCCGCGGTGTCCCCTTTCTTCCCGCCCAGACAATTACCGCGCGTTAGGCTGTGTCTTGGTGGGCCTCTTGCCTTTTTGACCCTGGCAAGCCCCTCCCCTTCCTCTCCCCTCTATTGCTTTTTATTGTTTTCCTCCAGCCTCCTTCTCCCATCCTAGGCCATTCCCAGGCTTAATTTGGAGCTGACAGCTTTCCCAACCCTTTCCTCGTCTCTTCCCCAGCAGGGGATTGCCCCTGCGACTGCCTCAGAGTCTTCAACCCGCCAGCCCAGTTAGGAAAGGTGCCGCAGGGGCTGAGAGACACGAGGGGACTCAGTGGCCTTTGATTTTGGGCCTTCAAGGGCCGCCTCCAGGCCCGACCATGTCACCTGCTCGGGAGATAACTTTGGCTTCCGGTTGTGGGTGGGTGATTTACTCTCAAACCCCACATCATTGATTTCTGGGTCATTTCCTGTGACTGCTCCTGCTGTCTAACCTCAAGAGTATGGGAACCCCGGCCCGGGTGCAGAGGTGATAGATAGCTGAGCTCCGATAGGGCCCCCACCGCGCTGTTGACGGAACACCTTGTGCAGGAACCCCGGTGTGCTTCAGAGTAGAGGTTCAGTGAGCCCAAGACTCTTTCACAGCCGTGCAAAACTTGCACACTGCAGGCCAGGGAGATTCCAGAGGCTTGTCAGCAGCTCCCTATCTGTTAACACCTCTTGCTAACTGTCCCTCTTGATCCCATTGGGAGATAACGGTGGACCGCTGCAGGGTGTGACAGGGTGGCCTTCTCTAAGCTCTGCAGAGGTCTCGCTTTTGAAAAAATGAAGTAACATATGCCCTGGTGAAAATGAATAGCACAAAGTGTGTATAAGGAAATGTATGTCTTTCTCACACCCTAACACCTCGTTCCTCGCCACAGAAACAAATCCGTCTCTTTCCCTATCCTGCCTCTTTCACCCAGCTAGGTCTTAGAGACATCCATGTGTTCTTGACAGTGTCTGGTGTTGGCCATGAGGTTGCTTCCAGCCTGGCTGTGTGCTGGGGAGGGTAGATGTCCTTGTAAGGAGGCTGTCGTGTGCGGTCTTGTCTTTCATTCAAACCATGAAAACTCTGACATCAAAAGTGGTGTGCCCTTAGGATTCCAGTAGAAACCGCTGCCCTTATAACACTGCTCAAGTTCAGACTGCTGCAGAGAATTCCTCTACCTTAAATAGCTCGTGTCCAGGTGGGCGGGCATTCGGGGTTTGACTCCTGGCATCCAGGTGCTGGCGCTGTGCCTGTCACACTTCCTACAGTGCCCTCTGTCCCTGAAGAGGCGATGAGGACCAGGCTGGGAGCTGGTGCTCTCTTCTGTACAGTGTCCTGTACCACCCCTGTCCCGGCAGTCAGTGGTGATTGAACGTCCACTCACTCTGAGCAGCCCTGGGAATTGCTAGCCCTCCTGCAATTGGATCAGGGCACAGTGAGGCGCCAGAGAGGAATGTTCTTTCTCCACACCTCCGGTGGGAGTGGGTGGAGGGCAGAGACCTAATCTCCTGGCCCCAGTTTCAAGAGGCCAGCCCTGTTTATCTGTCCTTCAGCCACACCAGGACACTTAGCCTGTTTTATTTTGTTAACTGGCAAGCAGTCTCCGGCCCTAACCAACACCTCTCTCTGCCTTCCTGCCTGCCAGCTCTTAAATGGTCTATTTAAGGCCTGGAGATGAGGTGGCCTGAAGGCTTCTTGTACTCGTTTGGGAGTGCCTGGCTATTCTTTCTCCAGATGCCCACACACTTGTCATTTTGTTTCCTGGAACCCAAACTGTTGAACCTAGGCCTACCCTGTGGTTTATTGACTAGGAAATGCAATCCGCCCCGCCCCCACCCTCACCTCCGAGGTTGTGTGCCTTAGTGTAAATCGGTGACTTTCCCTCTGCCTCTTATAAGGGAAGAAGGGGCTGCCTGGGGAAGCTGCGTCCCAAAGCTTCCCCTTGTAGCCACGCCCCCAGTCTTCAGGACATATAACATGACCATTTTGGAGGGCTAAAAGTTTCTGCGGGAGCCAGTGGGCTCTTTGTGAGTTACCATGGGGGAGATTTGGGAGTACTAAATAGGGGCAGGGGCAGAAGCTGAGAGGAAGCCAGAATGACAAGATGACTCATTCCAGGAATTGGCTGAAGCTCCTGGGAGGGAGTTGGAGACTGCCACTGCCAGGTAATCCATTAACTATTTGCTGACTGCAGGAGTGAGCCCTCCACTGTTGGGCTAGCTACCTATTTTACCAAGAGACAGGATCACACAGGAAGCTTCTTGGAAAGGTCCTGTCTCAGGAGACTGATGCAGCTGGTGATTTGACACCAGGTGCATCCTTGAGGCTAGTGGAAGACAGGTGGGTGTCCTGGAGGCTCCCAGAGGTACCTCACACTACTGTTTGTGAGAAACAGAAGGTTCCTAAGCAAGAAAGTTCTGTCTACCTATAATGCTTTGGCTTTCTGTGGGTCTCCAAGCCACTTTTACGTTTTTTTGTTTTGAGGGGAGGTGTCTTGCTATATAACCCAGGCTGGCCTTAAACCCATGATCTCCACCTGCTAAGATTACAGGCATGTGCAACCATGCTCAGCTTTACCTGCTCCTCTTCGACCAGAAGGTGGGCCCTTCTGGAGGAATTGAAATGTAATTGCAGCGCCCTTACATGCCCAAAAGTCTGCGTTCTTCCATTTGGTTTGCAATGCATTGACTTGAGTTGTGGCTAAATTAGACCTATAGAGGGGTTGTCAGTGACCTTAGGAGTGAGAAAGGAAGGGGCTTCTATGAATGGGAGAAGATGCAGCTGTAATTTTGCCTAGAGTTAATGTGCTAGGGAGAAAGCCAGTTTAGGAGTCTTCACAGAGATTAATGAAGTGTTGCCAATTCACACCTTTGTTTTAGATAAGCAAGAAGATAAAATGCTTTTTGGTTTTTTTCTTTTGTTTTGTTTTCTGAGGGGATATGGTTAATATTTACCAGATGCCAGAAAGTTAATCTTTGCCTCTCTATGAGACACCTTTAAAAACTTGATTTATTTATGTGTGTATGTGTGGGTGTGTATGTGCACCATGTGTGTACAGGAACCAAAGAAGTCAGAATACTTCTGGAACTTGAACTACAGCTGTTGTGAGATGCTATGTGGGTGCTTCAAACTGAAGCCCAGATTCTCTCTCTGCAGGGGCAGTACGTGCTCTTAACTGCTGAGCTACCCATCTCTCTAGCTCCAAATGGGACGAACTTTCGGAATTGTGTGTGTGTGTGGGGGGTGTATGTGACTGAAGCACCATTATTTTTTATTCTAAAACTGGTGGGTTTGGCAGTGCTTTTGTTGAGTGCATGTGCTGTAGTGTAGGTGTAGAGGCCAGAGAACAATTTGCAGGAATCGACTCTCTCCCTCCATTATCGGGCCTTTGGTTAGGTGGCAGGTTGCTGAACGCACTGAGCCAACTCACTTGCCCTTGTTAGTTCCCTCTGTACTCAGAAGTCACTCACCTTAGCAGTCTGATGTTTTAACTGTCACACGGTCGGGGTGGATATTTTCCGACATCCAAGAGCCCAGTGCCTCTGCCTGCCTCACTTTTGTGCGTTTGTCTTTGAAGGGGGTTATGAGACCTTCTACTCGCAATACCCTGAGTGCTGTGTGGATGTGAAGCCCGTTTCACAAGAGAAGATGGAGAGTGAGAGGGGCCTCCTCAGCCAGTGTGGAAAGCCCGTTCTTAGTGTCACCTACAGACCAGCTTATGACCAGGTATGCCGTCCCAGCTCCTGTCCTTCGGTGCTGCTGTGGCTCGCCCACAGGAGTTCCCGTGCAGAGTAAGTGGGCAGTCTTCCAGCACACACAGATAACTAGGGTCCCTGGGTCACAGGTTGCTGGGCAGCTTCTGCAGAAAAGAGGAAGTGAGGGAGGGCATTGTTATTAGCTGGCTTGGGCAGTTCTGGGAAGCTTCACAATGCTGGTTCAGGTTTCCCTGGAGACATCAGAGCTGACTTTCAGGCTTCCTGTGTTGTTTGTTTTATTTTTTCTTTAGATTTGCTTTGTGTGTATGAGTGTTTTGCCTGCACGTGTGTGTGTGTGTGTGTGTGTGTGTGTGTGTGTGTGTGTGTGTGTGTGTGTGAGAGAGAGAGAGAGAGAGAGACGTGTGTGCCTTCAGAGGTCAGAAGGTAGAGTTACAGAGGGTTGTAAGCTGCCATGTGGTGCTGGGAATCAAACCCGGGTCCTCTGCAAGAACAAACGCTCTTAGTGTTGAAGCTATCTCTCCAGCCCCATTCTGTTTTGGTTTTTTTTTTTGATAGGCTTGTTATGTAGCCCAGGGTAGCCTTGACTTAAGACCCTCCTCCCCGAACCTTCCTTGGCTGTCTCCTGAAGAGTTTTAGTACATATTTTCATAGATGGTACTAGTAGAAGGCTAGATGTTTCTGTAAGTATATGGATTTTTTTTTGTTTTGTTTTTCCTTTTTTTTTTTTTTTTTTTTTTTTTTTATGTAATGTATGCTTTGTACAACTCACTGACAGTTAGGAGGCTGGGTACCCATAAAATGATGGTGGTGGATGGGTAAAAAGCAGGCGAAAGTCCAGGCCCTATAAAACTGGAGTTTGGACCCTTGCCCTCTCAAGAGGGCAAGGTACTTCTCATTAGCCATAGGGATGTCTGACCGTATCAGGCCAGTTCACAGAGACTCCAGCCACTGGGCCATGGTAGCCTCAGGCCTATGTGGTCGCTCTTCAATTTCATGTTCTGGTTCCTCCCAGGACCTTCTGTTTACCATCTGCCCTTAGACCTACACATCCAGCTTGGAAGAAGGTCTTCAGTCTTTCCCTCAAAACAAAGAGCATGGCAAAGCCTAATAATGAGCCTTCTAGATAGATACGGTCGAAAATGCCAACTCCCCGGCATGGGCAACACTCAGCCCCTGGAGACAGTTCTAAATACAAACAGGTGGCCTTGCTTCTAACGGGATTCTTGGTCTTTGGGAGCCTCTTAGCCTGGCCAGATGCCAAAGTCATAGGTTCTGTTTTCTTTCAAGGAAGGTGAGTGTGTGGGATGAGCCTGAAGCCATGGCATGAGGCACCTAAGCCAGATGCCTGTGTGTCTGTGTGTTGGGTTATGCTCTGCCTTTCTCAGAAAGCGAAAGAAAAGCAGGGATCGACAGCTGGCTGTGAAAGCTCTGTAGACCTTTGGCCCACTGAGGGTGGAGTGTTCTGATGTGACTTCAGTGCTCACCAGGGAACCCCCCTGTACACAGAGAGGCCGGGCGAAGCTGTCACAGCCTGTTTCCTGACAGCTTTGCTGTCTTTTTGAGTTACGGAAAGGAGAGAAATAGGATTTCAGGGGAAGTTGGATGGTATCCCGGGCTGGTGTATCAGCATTTTCCAGACACTCAAAGCAGTTTTAGGCAGTGTCCAGCCTGCTGCTTTGAGGGGGTGGCTTACAGTGCCATGGGGCTGAGCTGGGCTATAGCTGATCAAAGGTAGAATGGAATTAGATTTGAGTCTCTGAGCTCTTTCCCAACAAGGGTCTACCATCGCTACCATTTTCTAGTTTCTGACCAGTGAGGAGCTTGGGCTGGGTGCAGGGGACAGTCTGTCCTCAGGCCAAGACCAGACCTGTTGGGATTGCAGGACTTCAGGAGAGAAAGCTGGATTCCATTTCTTCATTTTTCAGCTGGATGAAGATGGCAGCCGCATACTATAAAATCAGTAATGCAGCCATCATTCCTCTCGTGTCTTACAGTTAGTTATCCCATTTTTGCTTCAGGGTTAGAGAAGCTGCCCGAGCTCCCATCAGTGAGAAGCTAGAGCTCTTCTCTCAGATGCTCTGTTCACGTTCCTAACCTCTGCACCACACTGCCTCTGGAAGGCTGCCTGCCCTGTGTGCAGGAGATGAGGGAGGGTGCAAGTGGACTCATTCATTACTAGGGAGTTTCTAGAGAGAGGCAAGGAAGAAGGAACATATTTCCTTCCTGTTTTTACCTGAAATACTTGAAATCTAAGCCAGGCGCACACCCACAGTAGGAGCACTCTGTCAGGGTAAGGCAAAAAGGATTGCCTTAAGTGCAAAGACAGCCTGAGCTACAGAGTGAGCTCCATTCAGGCCAGCCTGGCACATACAGAGACCATGTCTCAGGAGGAGTAAAACACGAAAGCCCTGTTTTCCCATACTGAGCTCTAAACAGACTCAAGAAGCCCTGTCACTCATGCTAAGTCAGTCTGAGTTAGTGCTCAGTCCCTGCTCTACCTTTGACATTATTTAATCCGTTATGAGCCTCAAGAAACTGCTGTGAAATGGCATTCTTACCTATCGAACAGATCTCTTTTAAGATTAGTACCTATAGGTGTCTCAAGCCCCCAAAACTGTAGGTGCTAATAAAAATGCTGGTTGTGGATGTGTATGCTACTCAGTTGGTAGAGTGCTTGCCTGCCACACTCTGAGCCCCTGGTTCAGTCTCTAGTGCCATATAAACTGGGCATGGAGGCACAAGCCTTTAATGCCAGCATTTGGGAGACTGAGGCAGGAATATCAAACTACACCCTGTGCCAGCCCAGCTATGAATAGAGTTTGAGGCCAGTCTGGGCTACATGAGACCCCATCTCAGAAAGTTTGTGCATGCGTGCATGTGTGTATGTGTGTGTGTGTGTCCCCATGCTGGTTACTATTAACCCTACATAAATACTCTGTTACTACTTCTGTGTAGTTGAATTGGCTTTCGCTTAAACCCTTGAGGTGCTGGGTGGGTTGAGAAGTGCCTGCTGCTGGCCCCCATCTCATCTCTTGGTTCCTTCCCTTTTTTCTTACTATGGGTCTGGCTAAGAATTTCCATTCCACCCCCTTTCTGGGGCAGGAAATGGGGGACTCCAACAGTCACTGGCCTTTGCTTGGCACCTCAGAACCCCGAAAATGTGCAGATTACTGAGTCTGTCTAGCCTAGAGCTCCATTTCACCTAGAAGTAGATGGTCTTTGTAGGAAGCTTCTGAACTAGAACCCTGGGGTGTGGGTTGATGACCTCAGCCTCTAACTCCTACGCTCCCTGCGAAGGTCGGGGTGGGGAAGCCCCTCTGCCTGTGGTCTAACAGCTTTTCCGAGTCTAGCTTGTGGGCAGATAGGGATATTTTCGATTTTAGGAAACTTACTTTTTGGAGAGGGTGGGGGATGGCACCTTTATTATTAAGTGTAGGTAAACAGTGTGTTAGGTTTATGCAGTACATTATACAAAACGCTGTAGAGGGGGAGACTTTGTCCCACCGTTTTCCTGGTTGGCTCTGGGTTAGGAAGCTGCCCCTCCGTGCACCCCGGGAGAATTTGAACTTTAACAAGGGCCCTCTGCGTTCTGACCACTTCCCACTTTGGAAGTTAGCGCCAGAAGACTGCTGTGACTTGAACTGAAACTCTGGTCCCTGTGAGTTTTGCTGTCACTGAGTCACAAGGGTAGAGACTTTGCCAGGGTGGAGGCGCCGCCCACTCTTGGCTGGCTGACTTGCCCTGGCTCTGAACTCTCTACCTGGGGGCCAGAAAGGGAACCTCCCACCTTTAGAAACAAATAGGTCAGGGTTGTTGCCTCCCACGTGACCAAGCTAATGCAGTGTCTCCTGCTTGTCCTTTGTCCCTGCTTCTAGGGCGGCCCGGTTGAAATCCTTCCCTTCCTCTACCTTGGAAGTGCCTACCATGCGTCCAAGTGCGAGTTCCTGGCCAACCTGCACATCACAGCCGTGCTGACTGTTTCACGCCGGACCCCTGAGGCTTGCACCACCCACCTACACTACAAGTGGATCCCTGTGGAGGACAGCCACACAGCTGACATTAGCTCCCACTTTCAAGAAGCCATAGATTTTATTGGTAGGTCCAGCCCCCTCCCCTCCATTGTTTGGGGAATTTCTTGGAGTGGAAAGAGAGGAACCTGTAGCCCTGGGTGGCCTCAAATTTGCTATGCAGTCAGGAATGATTTTGAACCACCTCAGAGGTGTTGGGATCAGGAACCCACCACTGTGCCAGCTAAAGCAGAGTGTCCTGTATCTGAAGCCCGAAGGGTTGGGGCCAAGAATGGGAGCTTTGGCCATCAAAAAGGCAAGGGGAAGGCCTGGGTTACTATTATTAGGCGTTTTAGTTTACAAGATGAATGAATTAATATCATTTTATGGCACTGCTTTCCTGCTCTTGTTATCGTTTCTACTGTTGGGAGCAGACTGTCCATGTGTAATGTTCCTCAGGAGGAAACGGGGAGCCTCCTTCTACGTAGGTTAGGCTATTTTTAAAGTGAGCAGAAGGATGGAGGGAGCACTTCTTACGCACTAAGCCTTGAGGGCCCTGGCAGCTCTGCACACTTTTGGCAAATGGCTCTGGACGCAATTTATTTTGCATTTTCAACTAACTCTGGATTAGAGATAGCACTTAACTCAAGCCCCGTGTCTTGCGCATAGAAAACTTGGCATCTTTTGCATCCCTGTACCCTTGTGAAGCAGTTGTCATCTTTCCATTGTACAAGCCTGGGGACTGAAGCCTTGGCCTCAAGCCTCTCTGCCCAGGTGCAGCTTGGGCCCTCGGGTGTTTTGTTACTCAGTGTTACCTTGATTGCCCTCCCATCCCAAATCACACCCACACCTCCCACCCTCGTTCAGCCTTGCTTCTCTGTTTCAGCTGTATAGGTAACACTCATGACCCTGGGCCCCTTTTCTCTCCCTTCTTCAACATGCATAGTTGTTGGGATTGAGACATCATTTTCCTGTGCCCTGTTAAAGGCAGGTGTTAGACACAAGGGTAATTACTTAGCGCAGGCAGCAATTAAAGGCTCCTTCAGCCACGTGGAAGGGCCTGCTCACCACACACGATGACATAAGAAGTCTTGACAAACTCCCCAGAGTCACAGACAGAGGCTTTCCTTGTCACCGGTCTCCAGGCTGAGAATCCTGCAGCCTGAGAAGCAGCCAAGATGGTGGGTTCTAGGTGGGAACTCCTGGCTCTTCTTCATGCCCTTAGGAGGGCTTTGCCCTTCTTCCGGCCTGTTACTTAATTACCTGAATAGCTACAGAGTGAGGTCACGCAGCCTGCCCCGTCCAGTTCGGAGAAGCCTCCCTCCACATCCTGTGTGTGTTGTGTCTGTTTGTGGACTGGGTCCCACAACATTTCAGAAGCACCTGATGTTTTTAGACCCCGACATATGCCCTGCCAGTGGAAGGGGCTGAGCTTCCCCAGTGGTCTCGTACTCAAATAAGCCCTGACCTTTCCCAAGGGAGGGTGATGTGGGTGGCTAGAGCCTGGAGTTTGGGAAGAGTTCCGGGAACCGTACACTCCTTCAGCTCTGGAATGTGGCAGTGGAGAAGCTGGGGGAAACAAGACACAACTCTGCAATTGCCCCAGCCCCAGAATCCCCAGGACTGGGGGTCTCCCCTCCCTTTGAACTGGCTTACAGGGACCCTTGTTGGGGGCCGGCTCTATTAACCCTTTTGGATTGATGAGTTGCGGCTCCTGGGCTCCTGGGCATGCTCTGGAGTTGTTCCTATTGGAAACCTCAAAGGTTCCTCTCTGACCCCTTAGACATTTGATCTTCTAGCTACAGAGTCATTTTCAGACTTCTTGAACTTTAAGCACATGGTGGAGAGTGGAAAGAGGAGCGACATTTCCCCTTCATCTCCCCCCAAGACAGGGTCTCTCCGTGGAACAGTCTTGGCTGTCCTGGAACTCACCTTGTAGACCAGGATGGCCTTGAACTCGCTAAAATCCACCTGCCTCTTTGTCCCAAGTGCTGAGATTAAAGGCGTGTACCACAACAGACTGACTTTTTTTTTTTTTAATAATATGGTCTTATACAGTAGCAATTATGGCTATGTCTAATTTCCTGTGAGGTAATTACTTCCTCAGTATCAAGAAGAATTGGGAGATTTTTTTGTGTGATTTTGATATGTATTCACCTATAGCCTTTCCTATTTTTAGCAGTTGTTTTTCTGGGAAGAGTAGAGCAGGAACAGAGGGACCCTTCACACACCACACACCACACACACACACACACACACACACACACACACACACACAAAGCAAAAGAATGCTGATGGCAGTGACTCCCATTGTTAAGCAAGATAGAGTTTGCAAAAGCCATTTATAGCCTCCGTCTAGCAAGCGTCACTTAGCCAGGACTATAATTAGTGGCCGGGCACTGTTTGTCGTGTGTTTGATGGTGAGAACCCTAGAAGCTCACCAAGCATCCCGCCCTGTCACAGCAAGACAGGGTCGCTCAGGGAATCCACCCTATGTCGCCGCCATTGGATCAGAACTGGAGAGACTTATGTTGTTTTTCCAGGTCTATCCTTGAGCCTTGGACACTCAGGACATTACATATACCCAATAAAGATCTCGAACACAGGTTAAGAGCTGTCTCTAGAGAGAACATTTCCAGGTCTAGCACTTCCAGTGAAAGGTTCTGTGCAAGTGTCCTGGGAACTTTAGAGTCTAGTTCTGACCTCCTTTCTCTTTCTTCATTCCAGACTGTGTCAGGGAAGGAGGAGGCAAGGTCCTAGTCCACTGTGAGGCCGGGGTGTCCCGGTCACCCACCATCTGCATGGCGTACCTCATGAAGACCAAGCAGTTCCGCCTGAAGGAGGCCTTTGACTACGTCAAGCAGAGGAGGAGTGTGATCTCCCCCAACTTCGGCTTCATGGGACAGCTTCTTCAGTATGAGTCTGAGATCCTGCCTTCCACACCCACCCCCCAGCCTCCTTCCTGCCAGGGGGAGGCAGCCAGCTCCGCGTTTACAGACCATTTACAGACACTGAGCCCTGATATGCAGGGTCCCTACTGCACATTCCCTACCTCAGTGCGGGCACCACTGCCCACCCACTCTGCAGTCCCAGAGTTCCACAGGAGCCCTGTGGCCACAGCCACATCCTGCTGAGACTGGGATTGGCTACCAGTGAATCCCCAAGAGCAACTGTGATTTTTGGTTATTTTTGTTTTTTGTTTTGAAACTTGTGGACATTTCATACCTGTGCAATACTGACGACCTCTCTGTCCCACTGCCCCAGTGAGATGGTGAGGGTCACCAGGCTCGCAGGTGCACGTGAGACTGACCCCGAGGGTAGCTTCTCGGGACCGTAGGAAGGCCAAGCCATGACTAGCACACCACGTGCTGACTACTGTACTTCCAGAACCCCTGCCCACTCAGGACCTCCCAGTCCTTGCACCTCAGAAGCCCGCCTTTCCATTCCAAGCATAAAGGCAATAAATCCCCACAAAAGTGGGAGCGAGATGCCGCTGGACCAGGAGAGTAGGCAGTGACGGAGTCAACTCATTTCGAAGGAAGCACAATTTCCACTCTGCTCTTTGAACTTTGGCAAACTTTGTGTCTGTCGGCTTCAGGGAATAAAGCTGGTCACTGCCCGGTCAGAGAGGTTAGCTCTGCTAGGTTTGTCAAGACACAAGTCCCTGCCCATCTGAACCCGGTAGTGTTCTTGAGATTGTCTTGGGTCCCATGAAAGCTCTTGGCTGAAGAAGATGCTGAACCGTCAGGGTTTCTCGCCAAGGGTTCCTCCTTGACCTTGGACTCGGGCGTGAGTCTTATGCATACTTGAACCTGTCCCATTGTATCTCTTCTTTAAGCAACTCTGGTGTCACTCAAGAATGTGTGTTGGGACGCTAGTCCAACAAGCACCCCCTTGAGGAGGTGACAGTGAGTGCCCGGAGGAAGGGGGTAGCTTCAGAACCTACTCAGCCCCGTGTCCTTAGGTGTTGTCCACGGTGACACTTCCCTCCCTGCCCGGGGGCGATGTCTTCCAGCTACTGATGCTGGGATTTGCATCTTTTGTAATGTGGTACTACTTAGGGCCTTTGATAGGTTGTTTCTCGGGGGAAAGGCAGTGAGTCCCCCAAACCCATGCGAATGTGAAGAAAGGCGGTGTGTTGCTGGTTGTTGTTTTTTACATAGTGTAAAATAAAATAAAAATAACATAAAATGAAAGTGCTTGTTCCTGTTAATGGTGACTCGGGATAGGAAGGAATACTTTTGAGTGGGGACTTAAACCTGCCTTACTGTTTTGTGTGTGCACTTTTAGATTTTTCCTTTAAGTGTGGCTGCTTTGCCTGTGCACACCTAGTACCTGCAGAGGCCAGAAGAGGGTGTCACATTCCCTGAAACTGGAGTTAGAGATAGTTGTGACCTGCCATGTGGTACTGGAAGTCAAGCCCAGTCCTCTGGGGCAGCAGCCAGGGTGCTCTTAACTGCTGAGCCGTCTCTCCAGCAGCTCCATTTTATTTCCAAATGAATGGTGGATGGGATGGTAGATAGGAAGCACTATACGTTTGCTCTTGAGTATGTGATTTTAACAAGGACAGAATGAAGCTAGAAAACTCCTCAAGGCAGCCATACCTCTGCCTAGCTCTCCTTAACAGTCTGGTGTGACATTTGTTACCTCATCCGTGAAGTGGACAGAAAGGAGGCAGATGCTCTGCAAAGTTCCTTCTAGAAAGCCCAAATGTCAGGCTGTGGCCGGCCTCCCTCTGCCCTGCCTGACACATGGTAGACTCAAGGCCAGCTACGGATAGTCGAGGGGCAAAGGTTCCCTTAATGGCCTGCCCCCTATTTGTACCCTTGTAACTAATTCTTCCAGATAACTCGCTCTGGAGTTCCTAGGTGAGTGGGTTTCTATCCAAGTGAAGCTTAACTTGCCTTCTAATTTCCTGTGGTCAGGGAAGAAAGAAGCAGAATCGACTGCTTGGTTGGCACAGATCAAGTTCCAGACCACGCAGGGCACGGTCCCTAACAGGAAAACGACTGCGTTTTATACCATCCCATTCAGCTGATGCTTCCAGCAGGGCCCAAAGAGATCTCCCAGCTACCCAGAGTGCACTTGCTGGCTGAGAGCAATACAGCAGCAGAGTGGCCAGTTTTCCCGAAACAAACACCCTAAGACTGCACGAGACCTTGTTTGTTATCTTCCTTTCCTTCCCCCAAATCACGCTCCTGGGAAAGCCCGCAGATGGGAATGCCACCCAGCCCAAGGCGACCTGATCACCTTCACTCACTGCCCTCGGTGTGTAGAGCAATGGACAGGAAGAAATCCTCACCTCCCCCTAACTCCTGCTTCGAAGCTAATCTGCAACCAGACTTTGGGGTTTGGCTTGCCTGGTTCATGACCCCCCCACCCCAAGTCCCATGTCCCTTAAGCCTGTGCTTAGCCCTGGAGTATTACCTGTAAACGTACTGTGCTGGTTTGTCCAGGTGTGGAGTGGCTGGAGGGCCCTGTAGGGAGAGCTGGGGAGTGGGGAGCCAGCTGCAGGTTGGGCTAGTGTGCTCAGCCACTTCCCACTCGCTGTCATTTGCTTTATTGCATTAAAGTCTGTCTCTAAAGGGTGAGTAAGTCCTCTAAATCAGGCATCTGAGGATTGCTCATAAGCCCTGTGAGTCATGGTGGGGGGGGGGGGGTAGGCTAAGTGAAGCCCCACAGCTGGGAAAAGCTCTGGGGCTATCACTCACTAATCTCTCCGTCACACCTCCATCGGGGTCAACTCCACACCGGTGTCCAGCACCAGATGGAGAATTCCAGCTAGCGTTATTGTCAGTTCACTGTCTTCAGGGTTTGAGAAAACGCTGTTGGTCTCCAGCATTGTCCCATGTGAAGATGCATTGAGTCTGAGAGAATAGGATGCTAATTTCCCAACTACATGTATGCACAAACCCTTCAGGTTCACCCTAATGACTGAGCTGAGCCTGATGGGAGGGAGGGTGGGGTCACACAAGTATTCAGGGAGTGTCAGGAGCCCTGTGCACCCATGGCAAGGACCCTAAGGAAATGACTCTGCAACTTCAACAGCCCGAACAGCGGTACCTCTCTGAACTAACTCCTGGTGATTTATCTTCTGTACATCCTGAAACTCGTGACTGCCTGTCTGTCTGTTTGCTAGGGCTATGTGGAAGTTCAGAAGAAAACGTCTGACCCACAGGAGCCAATGGTGTGCTTTGCTATCAACTTAGTCTTTTATTTTTGTTTTGTGACAGGTTCTGCTATGTAGCCCGGTCTGGCCTCAGACTCAGTCCACCTGACTGGATTTTCTGAGTGTGGAGCACACCACCGTGCCCAGTGCAGAGATCGGGAGCACGCCACCTAGCCTAGCACAAAGAATGTATTCTTGTTATCCACTCAACCTCATTTCCATAAAAAAAAATTCTTTTTCTTTTACTTCCATTTTCTCAGAGACCACAAATCCTTTAAACCCATTTACAGACTAAATGCACAATTTATGGAATGAGGTGGGAATACATACCTAGAGAGTGGCCTGTGTTGCTGTCTGTCATTTGAACTGAAATGGTCCCCCTGACAGGCTCGTGTTTCAAACGCACATTCCTAAGACAGTGGGTATGTTTCAGGAGGCTGTGGGACCTTTAGGAGATTGGGTCTAATAGTCTGAAATAGATCCCTAGGGGCGGGTCTTTGGCTGCAGTGGCCTCTGGGTCCTCCCTACTTCCTCCCCCAAAACTGGGTTGATGCGTCATGCCTGTCACAGTGAACTGAAGCCATGCAGGAAAGTGAATCTCTCCTCCCTTCAGATCTGTCAGGCATCACCGTTTCAGAGTGCAGAAACAAGCGATGCTCGTTGGCCATCTCTCCCCAGAACTCCTTCATGACACTGGCTTCCTTGGTGACCTGGCCTCCAGAGTGGGATCAAAACAATGTAAATATATTATGTAAAATGTACTTATATTTCACAGGACAGAAACTCAACAGGGCAGGAGCCTAGTGGCAGGAGCTGATGCAGAGGCCATGGAGGGGCGCTGCTCACTGGCTTGCTCATCGAAGCCTGCTCAGCCTGCTTTCTTAAAGAAGCCAGGACCACCAGCCCGTGGGTGACCCCACCCGCATCAATCACTAATCAAGAAAACACCTTACAGTAGGATCTTATGGAGTTATTTTGTCAATTGCGTTCCCCCCCTTTCAGATAACCCCAGCATATGTTGAGATGACACAATACTAGCCAACACATGCGCCGGTTTAGGGATAGATTGTATATGGACGTTTTCGGGGGCCTTCTCATGAGATGTGGAAGCTATGAGGCATTTCGTTGAACATCATAGAAGACAAGTTGCTCACCACTTCTCGCTGGACCTGGTAATCGAGAGCTCATGCTTCCTGGATCTGAGTAGATAGGGTCTCCTAACTGAAAGAATCTGATTCAAAAGCAGCCCATTGTAGTGGGATATTCACTCTGTCTCCTTCTGTGGCACTGACCACACCCATTGGGGGGTGGAGCCAGGGGCGGAAGTGACCTGGGGAACTAGGTCTGAGGAAGAGCCGGGGAATGTTCTCTTGCAAGCCCCTGGGAGACAGGAGGACTTCCGGAGACAACTGTGGGAGCAGGGTTCACCTGTCTATGTTGGGAGTTATTTCTCCCTGAATAAACATCTGTTCGGCCTAATTGTTTATCCAGATCCTTATTAAACATCAATATCTGGTGTCAGAAGTGGGATCGAACCCAGGCCTCCATTCGGAGACAAGACAGCCCTGGCTATCTTGGAACTTGCCCTATAGACCAGACTGGCCTGGAACTCAGAGATCCGCCAGCCTCTGCCCCCAAGTGCTGGGATTAAAGGTGTTTGTCACTATGTCTGGCCAATGGATTAGTTTTATTGTTGTTGTTTTGAGATAGAGTCTCACTATGTATCTCTGGCTATTCTGGAACTCACTATATAGACACTATGTAGACTTCACAGATATCTGCCATTTTTCTTGATAATGTTTGGATTAAAGGCATATATTATCAATCCCAGCTGTGAACTGCTTTTTAAATACTGCTCAAATCTTGGCCTGGTGGTGGTGGTGGTGGTGCATTCCTTTAAATCCCAGCAATCAGGAGGCAGAGGCCAGTGAATCTCTGTGAGTTTGAGGCTAGCCTGGTCTACAGAGTGAGTTCCAGGACAGCCAGGGCTGTTACACAGAAAAACCCTATCTTGAAAAAACCAAAAATAAGTAAATAAATACGAATCAAGTCATACTTCTGGGGCAAACTCTACTGTGTTGTATTCTTTTTAAAACACATTGCTGGCATTAATTTGCCATTATTAGTAAAGATTTGGTGGTTATGAAGGATATTCATTTACAATCTTTTCTAGAGATGCATTTGTCTTGCTTTAGTATCAGAAATAATGCTTCCCTCAGTAAATTCTTAGGGAGGGGTTAGTGAGATAGCTCATCTGGTAAGGGTACCTGCAGCCCAAGTCGGATGCCTAAGTTTGATCCCCAGCCCCATTGGGTGGAAGGAGAGAACACACTCCTGCAAATTGTTCTCTGACCTACATATGAGCCTGCAACTTATTTTTACTGCTTTGCGTATGTGTGCAAGTGTGTGCTGTGGACACAGCAAGTGTCCATGGAGGCCAGAGGTTTCCGTTCTCCCTGGGGCTGGAGTTACAGGTTGGTGCTGTGAGTCACTTGATGCTCGTGCAGGAAACCAAACTTGGGTTCTATGGATGAGTATCACATGTTCTAAAGGCTGAGCCACCTCTCCAGTCCAAATAAATGTATTTTAAGTTTTAAATAACTAAGTAAAATAACTAGAGAGATTTTTTTTCCTTGTCCAACTTCTATAAACAATTGCATGGTTACTATTGTTTTTCCTTTAAATTACACAGTTGCTATTGTTTCTTCTTTCAATGTCTAGAAGAATTTGCCAGGCAGTCATTTGAGCCTGATATTGTTTATGAGGTTTGTTAGACATGGATAACATTTCTTTAGTAGGGAGAGCCGTCCCAATGACTTAGTTGTTGAGTGAGCATTAGGAGATTGGTGTCATTTAATTAATTAGTTCATTTCACTGAAGCCATTAGAATAGTTTTGAACTTTTTGGAGGTCACCTTTGTTCTTAAGAGTGGCTGTGGATTTATGTTCTTGAGACAAGGTGTTGTGCAGGACTATCCTTTGAGCGGAACAACTTAGTCTTGGGGCATTCA